TCCGGTGCGGTGTAACAGCGCGTCCTTACCAAGCTCATGGGGGCGTCTGTGACCAGACAGACTTCAGCTGTCTCGTGCGTGCTATCGGTGAGACACACAAACACGTCGACCTTAACGCCGATGTCAGGGAGCACGCTTACTCTACCATGCAGCACGACACTTCAGTGACACAAGAGCGCAAACACTTGATCACATTACATCCGGTCTGAAAAGTTGTGGACCCTTGTGTCTTAAGTGAACAGCTTGGAAGAGCTCGTAGAAGAATCTCCAGCCTTCTTGGTGACCTTGGACACGGCAAGCAAGAAGTCATCCATCGACACGTGTTGTCTTCTCTCCCGAAGTGCGAACATGCCTGCGCAGCGTCCACAAACATTGGGATGCTGGAGGTCAGATGTCTGATGACGAACACGAATGAAGGGTCACACCTACCGGCTTCGGTGCAAATGCCGCGAACCTCAGCTCCTGAGCATTGGCCCATCTTCTCGGCCAGGGCACGCAAATTGATACCTCGCTGCAAGCTCATCTGCGTGGCATGCAAGCCCCGAACGGGCAAGTAGATGTTAGCGCTGAAGTACTTGATGTGTCTGAGCAGAAGCTGCGCACACTGACCTTGCGACTGTGAATGCGAAGAATGGAGACTCGAGCTTCGGGACCTGGAGGCGGGAACTCGATCTTGCGGTCGATTCTGCCCGGCCTCAACAACGCGCTGTCGAGAATATCAATGCGGTTCGTCGCCATGATCACCTATCAAGTATACCATCAAATCAGCACGGGCGAGGAGACAACATCTCGTTCACCACGCGTCCACCACGCGCTGGAACGCTTCGCTGCTCACCTTGATGTTCTGCGTCCCCTCGAAGCCGTCCAACTGATTGAGAAGCTCCAGCATGGTTCGCTGAACTTCCGAGTCACCACCTCCGCTGCCGCCTTCGCCCCTTGAAGACCCGATAGAGTCGATCTCATCCATAAAGATGATGGAGGGTGCGTGCTCACGAGCCATGACGAAGAGTTCGCGCACCATCCTGCAAGTTGCAGATGATCAAGTGAACATGCGTTACGTTAGGAGCACGTACTTCTGAAAATCACACTCACCTGCTTCCTTCACCAATATACTTTTGCACCAATTCTGAGCCAGAGACACGGATGAAGCGACAGTCGGTGTGATGCGCCACGGCGCGAGCCAGCAACGTCTTTCCCGTCCCAGGTGGGCCGTACAGCAGTACTCCTTTGGGTTGGGCGATACCCAAAGCTTCGAACAGCTCTGGGTGTTTGACGGGCAGCTCGATCACTTCTTTGATCTCTTTGATCTGACGATCCAGACCACCGACCATCTCGTATGTGCTGTCGGGAACCTTCTCCACCATCATCAGCGAGACCAATGGGTCGATCTTGTTGGGCAAGATCTTGTGCAATGTGTAAGAGTCAGAACGAAGAGCCACTCGAAGAGAGGGTTTGAGCGAGGCCATGTCGATATCGGGTGCGAGATCCACGACTGCGATGTGATGATCAACTCTTGATCAGTAGAGATCAAAGGCAAGCAGGGTAGCCGCGTCCACTCATTGAGCACTACTTACTGTACTTGCCCTCTGGCTGAACCTTGACCAGCACCTTCTTCTTTCCCATCACCTTGACAACCTCGCCCACATAGCTGCCCGGCTCTTGCAAGAGCTGCAACTCCTCCCTCAGCAGCCTGACCCTAGCATTCAATGCATTTCTCTGAGCTTCCAATCTGCGCAAGTTCTGTGTTCGCTCGTTGATGAGCAATTCGGAACTGGCAATCTTGGAGGCGTAGAAGGATTGGATGCCGGTAGCTGGGGAGCGCACACCACCTTGAGGTACAGAGGAAATGGACCCTTGGGCCGCCGCGGACGCTACTGCTGCCATCGTGCCT